ACGGGCCTGAGCTGCCTGAGGGTGTGCCTCAGCAGACAGAAAGGCTAGTATGCTCCCTTGACCAGCTGGACGCATAGACAAAGAGTGTCCTGTGCTCCTTTTACTGTCCAGTGTGTCATTTTTCCTTTTCCTATAGGGATGATGGGTGCCTTCCCAGCACAGCAAACCAGTTACAGGAGTGGCGAGTCATTTCCAACTTGAAACTTATCAATCCCTGTCCCTCCCACTCTCATTCCTGCTGGATAAGTAATTACTTTCCAACCCAAAGCCCATTTTGCAGGGAAAATCCAGGTGCAGAGAAGCCAGCGTCTTGAGTGCACAAGCAATGGGGCTCCAGCGTCAGTGGGGTCTCTGAGTGGGGCAGTGGCTAAGTTCCCATGGGTGCATGTTAGGGCAGCTTCCACTCCCTCTTCCCTTGCCAGGTCCCCAGAGGTATTGTGCACCTATTTTTTGAGCACCTGCTGTATGCCTGCAATTCTCTTCTCCACCCTGTCCTGCTGTACACACTTATTCATCTTTCAAGACTCAACCTCACCTTCTCCATGAAGCGTTTTCTGACTCACCAGGCAGGAGGCCTCCCATGACTGGCAGAAGCAACACACATTCTCTTTGGAAGAACTCAACTTCAATCCAGGCCGACAAAAATTGGAGTAAAGCCTTTTTGTGAGTTTTAGAGACAGGGTCTCACTATATTGCCCAGGCTGGTCTCAAACTCCTGAGCTCAAGTGATCCTCCCACCTCGGCCTCCCACATAGCTGGGACTGCAGGTGTGTGCCACTGTGCCCAGCTCCAAAGCTATTGATTTATAACATGAATCCTGACTTTAGATATAGTAAAAGTTCCCCCCCCCCCCCAAAAAACTCTTACATCAGATAAGGGATATAGCTGTCCTTAGGTCCTAGGGATAATGGAGAGGAGAGTCTCCTGGCCCTTGCCCTGCTCCAGACCAGTAGGGAGTATACTCAGGAAGGCTCTTGGAGATCAGGAAGTAAGACATTTATGTGACTTTCCGGTTGACTCTATCCCCCCAACAGCTTCAATTTTGTCTTTCAGGCATTTTCTGAGATAGGGAGGAGGTGTGTGTGCAGGGGTGCCCGTCAGCCAGGGAGCTGGCACCTCTTCCATACGATGTGCGCCATCACTAGCACTGCACACATCACCCTGTATGAGGAGTCTCTCTCCCCTGAGTGAGGGTTAAAAGCTGAAAGCTTAATTGTCCATCAGTGGGGCCTGGCTAAGTAAAAAGCAGCATATTTATATGATGACATATGTAGAGAAGTTGAAAGGAATGCACTTCCTTTATCAGCATGGATAGAGCTAAAAAAATTGGTGTAGAAACTAAGTTGCTGAGTAAACAGTACAGAATGATTGCATTTTTTTTTTTTGAGATGGAGTCTCACTCTGTTGCCAGGCTGGAGTGCAGTGGCATGATCTCGGCTCACTGCAACCTCTGCTTCCTCGTTCAAGTGATTCTCCTGCCTCGGCCTCCCGAGTAGCTGAGTCTACAGGCGCCTGCCACCACGCCTGGCTAATTTTTGTATTTTTAGTAGAGATGGGGTTGCACCGTGTTGGCCAGGATGGTCTCGATCTCTTGACCTTGTGATCTGCCCGGCTCGGCCTCCCAAATTGCTGGGATTACAGGCATGACCACAGTGCCCGGCCCCATGATTGCATTTTTTTTAAAGTACATTGGAAACTCACTTTTTTTTTTCCAGTCGGTACATTTGTATGTATGCAAAAATATTTTTTATAAATCTGAAAGGACAGTGCAGAGTGAGACCATTTGTCTGTTTGATCAGGGATCAGCACACGGCCCACAGCAGCATAGTAGGTGCTTCTAAGATATTTGCCACATGGATGACAGCACTGGGCAGCTGCTGAGGACTTATGGAGTGATGGACCCAGAATCTCATGAAGGGCCTCGAGGGGATTCCTCCTATACTGGCTCCCTCCTCATCCCACCTGCCCCAACCTTCCGCTAAGCCCAGAACCCACGGCTCCATTCTGGCTGTGGCATCCCTGAGTCTGTCCACTCCCTCCTTAGCTTTGGATTCAGCCCTAGCCCTGTTCCTCTATTTTCCTGAGGACTGGCCCCACTGTGTGTATGTGTGTGTGTTGCGGGAGCTGACTGTTACTTCGAAATTGGCATTGGAACAAAGCAAGCTGATTCTGGCCCAGGCCATTAACTAAACTATCCTACTGTGGTCTCAGATCCAGTGCCTCCAAATGAGAGGGAGCACTGGGTGGGTACTCGTGAGCCTGATGGCTAATGTACTGGGAAAGGACATGAACAAATGTTCTAGAAAGATGCCTTGCCTGGTGGGGAGGCCTGCCAGCTTTCCAAGCCCATAAGTGCTTGTCCTAGTCGGCTTGGGCTGCTGTAACAGATGACCATAGACTGATGTGGCTTAAATCAGTTATTTCTCACAGCTCTGGAGAGGCTGGGAAACTCAAGATCAAGGTGCCAGTTTTTGGTGAGGGCCTTCTTCCTGGCTTGCTAATATCCATTTTCTCTGTGTCCTCACACAGCTGGGAGGGAGAGCTCTGGTCCCTCTTCCTCTTCTTATAAGGACACTAATCCCATTATGGGGTCCCACCTCATGACCTCATCTAAACCAAATCACCTCCCTAAATCCCCTCCTCCAAATACCACCACATTGGAGGTTAGGGCTTGAATATATGAATCTCTGGAGGACCCATACATTTGTAGGGGAAATGTTTCAAAAGCAGGGTGTTTGGCGTGCTTTAACTCAGACTTCAGGGTAAATGGTGAACATCAGAGGTTCTGGATGAAGCTTTTGACACAGGCGGAAGAGGTAGAGAATGCAGGGAACTGGTAGGAAGGAGGAGGCCTACTCTTCATCATTATGGCTGGCTCCAAAGCGCAGGCTTCATTCAGGCAGGCACACATTCATTTAACGTCTTTTAAAGGGGCAGGCCTTGGCTAGCACTGGGCAAGTGCTAGGGACCCCAAGTTGAAACAGAGGGCTTGCCCTCCTGGAGCTTACTGCTGTGCATGAGCCAGGTCTCAATGGAAAACTGCAGACTTTTACCTGGCCTCCAAGTTTTGCATGTGCTGTTTTGTCTGGGACCCCCTGCATTCCCTTTGTCCTGTCCCCCCAACTGCTCCTACCCATCTGGCAGGTATAGGTAGGTGGGGCTGTTCTGGGGAAGTTTGCTCAAGTCTGGATTCTGAGACACTAGGGATCCCAGAACATGGCACCTCTTGCCTCTCAAGCCTTGCCATTGCAAGGCTGCCCCTCTTGTTCGCTTGTCTGTCTTCCCCATGACACCTGAGCTTCCTGAGAACAAAACTGTGAACCACCATATCCTAGGTACCTACTGTGGCCTGCTTCCTGCAGGGAGAGGGTGCAGTCAATGAGTGAGTGAATGAATGAATTATACACTATTACGAATGGCTGGTCCCTAAGCATGATGGGTATCTGAACAGATGTGTAAGTATGGTGATTGGAAACAAGTGCTAAAGGTTTGAGAAATAATAGAAAAAGCCACTGCAATGACGAACACACCCATCCACCTGCTCGAGACTAACAACTATTTCTTGATCCACAGCTGCCAGAGGAACACGCCTCTGTCTTACTGGGTTTCTGAGATTTGCAACCTCCGAAGCTGGGCTCTAGCCAGAGGGGTGTAAAGGTCAAAAGTGTTAGATCATTCAGTCACCTTGTATAAGTAACATAACATTTCTTTCTTTCTCTTTCTCTCTCTTCTTGTCTTTTTCTTTAGTTTTGGAGAAGGTCTCATTCTGTTGCCCAGGCTAGAGTGCAGTGGCACAATCAGGGCTCACTGAAGCCTCAATCTTCTGGGCTCACGTGATCCTCCCACCTCAGCTCCCCTGTCCCCCAACCCCAGTAGGTGGGCCTACAGGCACAGGCCACCACACCCAGCTAATATTTTCATATTTTTACTACAGACAGTTTTGCCATGTTGCCCAGGCTGGTCTTGAACTCCTGGACTCAAGGAATCCGCCGGCCTCAGCCTCCCAAAATGCTGGGAATACAGGCGTGAGCCACCACGATCAGCTGATAACATTTTTGTGCCTCAGTTTCCTCACTTGTGAAACAGGAATAAGAGTAGTTTATTAGGGTTGCCCTAAGGACTAAATGAGACGGGTCTTGTAAAGTCTGAGGGATGGTGAATGCATAAATGCTTAATAAATGCTAGCTCTTACTAGGAGGCCTCTCACCTCCAGTTGCCCTGCTCTGTCATTCTCTAAACCTCAGTTGGTCCATCTGTAAGATGGGCATGCGAATGGTAATGATTAAATGAGAAAGTAAAACTGTGCTAGGATCTGTTATTTGTGTCCAAGAGAGCCTGTGGGACTATGCTTCACATCCAGGCTCACCAGGCTGGGGATTCCAGGTCCCGGCCATCCAAAGCGAATCTGCTCAGTGCGCTGGTGGAGAGGACCACCTCCAGCCTGGGGGCTTCAGACCACAACGCCCAACCCAAGCCCCAGAACCCTTTTTCTCACGGGAGCAGGCTGCTGTGGGTTCGTCTGACTGATCAGGGAGGCCTGATTATTCTCCCGGGAGATGACCTGGGAAGGCCATGGTGGGTCCCCACAGTAGGGGGCGGCGCACGGACTGCAATCTGGTTATTCCAGGAAAAAGAAAAAAATGTTGCAGAGGCGGCGGCCATAGGGTTGGGAGCCGGTTATCTCTGGGCCACCTTCCAGCTCTGATAACTGCAGGCCGGGCTCACCGGGTGGGGCTGGCGCCCCGAAGTGGGCCGGGGCGCCGCGGTCTGTAGCCTCTGCTTTGCCCGGCCCCTCCCGCCATGGTCGGGCGCCGGGTCTCCAGGCCGCGCCCAGCCCCATGAGGAAGCAGCGCGGTGCCTGCCAGCCCGAGCTCACCGCGTGCCCTCAGCCGGACAAGGTGGGCAAGGGCCAGGGGGCTCGCTGCTAGACCCCGGGACCCGCACGCACTCCCCTACCCATCCCCGCTCCCCCAGCACCCGGGGCATCCCCCGGAGCTTACTCTGCAGACAGCGGGCTGCGGCCAGGCAGAGGGCGAAGAGTCCTAGGGAGATGCCTCGGGTCTTCCTCCTCCCGCTCGGCAGAGGCCTCATGGGCGAGCCCGGGGCGGCGCGGGCCGGAGTGTGTGCTAGCTGCACCGCGCTGCAGCTCCTATGCAGCCTTCTCTCTTCCTCTGCCTCTGGCTCCCGCAGGTTCTTTAGGGCCAGATGCAGATGAGCTGGTTGTACTCTGGTTGAACCAGTTCCCAAGGATAGAGAAGGGGAGGGGGAGCTGCGGGGGGAAAGAATTAATATGGGAAGGAATGGGAATGCACAGACTCAGAGGTAAATAATGGCAAATAATGAGCAGCCTCCTTCCGTTCACACCCATTTTACTGGTATTGATTCAAGGTTCGGCTGGATGCTAGGTGGCAGGAAGGGAAAGTACTAGCTATTGCTTCAGGACAGCTAGTCATTGGCATCATGGGCAAAGGGAAGGCTTTTAGGAAAGTGAAATGACAGCCTGGAGTGAGAGGGATGAGGGGAGGGGACAGGGAGACTCAGGCTACCCTGATGGGAACCACTGCACAATGATGATATCCATCTATCCACCCATCTGTCCATCCATCCATCCATCCATCCATCCATCCATCCATCCATCCAGGAAATGTTCACCAATCGCCTGCTTATTTGCACAGGTCCTTGCGCGTGGCAGTCACTCAAAGAAACTGGTGGAACGAAGCTAGGCACTGCTAAGTGCTGGGGATACAAGGATGTGGGCACCTCTTTAGAAATCCTAGCAAGAGCCGGGCGCGGTGGCTCATGCCTGTAATCCCAGCACTTTGGGAGGCCGAGGTGGGCAGATCACAAGGTCAGGAGATCGAGCCCACGGTGAAACCCCGTCTCTATTAAAAAAATACAAAAAAAAAAAAAAAAATTAGCCGGGCGCGGTGGCGGGCGCCTGTAGTCCCAGCTACTCAGGAGGCTGAGGCAGGAGAATGGCGTGAACCCGGGAGGCAGAGCTTGCAGTGAGCCGAGATCGGGCCACTGCACTCCAGCCTGGGGGACAGAGCGAGACCCCATCTCAAAAAAAAAAAAAAAAGAAATCCTAGCAAGGGATGGGGGCTGCAAAAAATGAGCAACTGCTGTACAATTCATACGCCGTTAGGATCAGAGAGGCCCAGCGTGCTCTGGGGGCTCAGAGCAAGTGTAATTAGCCCCCAGGAGAGGTCGATGGAGGGGTAGGACAATCAGTTTTGGTCCAAACTAGTCACGAAATTCTATTTCACTTTGTCAAAACTAGAATTTCTAGCTTCACTTGCCACAAGGGGTAGCAGTGTGACCCGGTGCTGGCCAGTGATATTTAAGGGGAAGTCTTTTTGAGGTGTTTCTGGAAAAGTTTTTGCTTTCTTCATAAAAAGGACAGCTAAGGCTGGGACTACCCCTCCCCCTTTCTTTCTGCCTTGAAAACATTTATTCTGTCCAGATCTGTGGCATATGTCTTGCATCTATTAAGTTACATAAATGAATGAAAAAACCATCATGCTAAGTAAGGATGGTGGAGCAGGAAGATAGAAAGACCTAGAAGGGCCGGGCGTGATGGTTCACACCTGTGATCCCAGCACTTTGGGAGGCTGAGGCAGGTGGATTGCATGAGCCCAGGAGTTTGAGGCCAGCCTGGACAAATATACTGAGACCCCATCTCTACAAAAAATACAAAAATTAGCCTGGGCATGGTGGCCCATGTCTGTAGTACTAGCTACTCGGGAGGCTGAGGCAGGAAGATCACTTGAGTCCAGGAGGCAGAGGTTGTAGTGAGCCGTGATTGTGCCACTGCACTCCAGACTGGTGACAGAATGAGACTCTGTTTTAAAAAAAGAAAGAAAAAAAGGAAGACATAGAAGATTATTGTAATCCACTATACTTTCCAATCTTCTTCTGGTTTCTAAAGGAGATTTCTTACCGATTCCAATGTATTCCTGGTGAGGCTGGTAATAGTGGTACCCTGCTGACTGGCTTGGGGTGGGTTTGTCAACCATGCTGTCCATTTGAAGTACCCTGTCTGCCAACCAAAGTATTTGGTTCAAGGATGGGCAGACAGGGCCATCAGAGTCTTCTCTGGAAATGTATGGCCACTGCTGGGATGCTAAAAATGGGATATGAACCTGGGGGTACTGGTGGACCATCTTGTCTGTCATGTGGAGAGGTCCTGGGTTAAGAATGAAACCAAGATGAGACAAACTGAGCTGGGAACTAAGGAAAGAGATAAAGGCCTAACTACATGGGTTGAGTTCTGGGATTCTGCACGGTTGGGTTTGCCATTTATCAGCAAATAAATGCCCTCTTTTGCCTCAGCAAATTTAAGTTGCATTTTTATGATATAAAATTGAGAATGTCCTGCTAAAACAAGTGGTCTTCTTGACATTTTTCTGTTTTCTTTATTAGACATAAAGGGCTTCAGGAATCACTTGCATTCATTTGTTTATCCATCAAACATTTATCAAATCTGCCCCCATATCAGGCAATGTGCTAGGCACTGCAGCTCCAAAGATGAATAATAACTCGTAACTCGTAGTCTCAAAATACTCACAAACTAGTGGAGACAAAATGATTCAAGTTGAGAAAGCCTTCCAGACACAGAGGTTTCTCCTGCTAAGGCTAAGTTGAGAGGAAACTGGCTGTTCTGCTTACTGCTATGAACCCTCGAAATCTGAGATGGGTCTCAATTTAGAAAGTTTATTTTGCCGAGGTTGAGGATGCATGTCTGTGATATAGCCTCAGTAGGTCCTGAACACACGTGCTCAAGGTAGTCAGAGCACAGCTTGGTTTTAAACATTTTAGGGAGACATGAGACATCAATCAACATATACAAGATGAACATTGGTTCTGTCTGGAGAGGCAGGTCAACTTGAAGCAAGGTGGGAAGACTCAATGCAGGAAGGGGTGTTCCAGGTCACAGATGGCTAAGAGACAAATGGTGGCTTTTTCTTGAGTTTCTGATTAGCCTCTCCAAAGGAGATAATCAGATATGCATTTATCTCAGTGAGCAGAGAGATGAATTTGAATATAACGGTAGGCAGGTTTGCCCTAAGCAGTTCCCAGTCTGACTTTTTCCTTTAATTTAGTGATTTGGGGGCCCCAAGAATTTTTTTCCTTTCACATTTCCCCCCTTTTCTTTTTAAAATTTTTTTTGAGGCCGGGCGCAGTGGCTCAAGCCTGTAATCTCAGCACTTTGGGAGGCCGAGACGGGCAGATCACGAGGTCAGGAGATCGAGACCATCCTGGCTAACACGGTGAAACCCCCTCTCTACTAAAAAGTACAAAAAACTAGCCGGGCGAGGTGGCGGGCGCCTGTAGTCCCAACTACTCGGGAGGCTGAGGCAGGAGAATGGTGTAAACCCGGGAGGCAGAGCTTGCAGTGAGCTGAGATCCGGCCACTGCACTCCAGCCTGGGTGACAGGGTGAGAGTCTGTCTCAAAAAAAAAAAATTTTTTTTTGAGAAGGCACTTTAGAAGAAAATGAGTCTCTGGGCTCTGGTTTCATTGGATCTCTCATGGCTTAGAATGGTTTATTCCTAGACAGGTAGGTGCTGAGTTATTAGGAAAGCTCATTATTAGCAGGTTGTGAAGTCTCATGTCCTATGACAATAGGGGGAGGAAGGGAGAAAAACAGTAAACTAAAGAATAATCCTGAAAAATTGATATAGGCCACATTATACTGTGTAGACAAGGATGAGGACAGTTTTCCCAAGGGCTTTCATTGGCTCCATAAGTCAAGTTTGATTCCTTAAAGGAAAGTACACCATTCCAGTCAAAGCCTTGGTAAAATAACCAGTTTCTCCAGTTTTGTCCTGTTACAAATGAAAACAGATTCTTGTTGCACTTATGCAAATAAGTGTATTGTCATGAGTTAATAATGCTCACAAATAGTTTCCAAATTCTGTAGAAATCAAGTAGACAGAAAACAAATATACTCCACCTTTTGTTCATAGGAGTATATTTTACTCAATTGTTAAACGTTGTAAATAACTTAAAAGTTTTCTTGACTCTGAAAAACAGAACAAAGGATCAGCAATGTTTTAGTTAGAAAGATTACTTTAGACTTCTATTAGCTTAGTCCATGTAGATAATTTTTGTTATGTTTGGTATTCATGAACATTTCAGCTCTCCATGAGTTCTGAAAGTTTTCCTCTATTCGGATGTCACAGTCTTCAAAGTTATCCGAAACCTATATTCAAGAGCACCTGTTAGAGTTGTATAGCCAATAATAAAAACACCTTCTAAGAGGACCAACAGAAGACAACAATTATCTGTGCATGACAAAATGTTTTAGGGCAGCCATAGTCAAAGACACAATTGACAAGTAAATTTGTTACCTCTGTGGCACACAATAATTTAACATAACAATTATAATTATTACTGATAATGTACACTAAGTCATATCAGAATTATAGGAGTTTTCCGTAATTTTGTAATACACACCAATAATATATTTAAACAAATACAACCCAGAGAAAACCAAACACCATGACATATTTGACAATGCTTCCTGTAGCATTTATATGCCAAATAAATAAGCCAAATATGTCATTTTTTGGACTTTAGGGAACCTATTAGTAATATCTTAAAGAATTAATTAGGTCAGAAAAAGACAGTTTATAATTTGATTTTGGAAAGTTAGTCAAATATCGAAGGTTTAAAACACTTGATAACACAAAATAGGATTACAGGTCTTGTAAAATAAGTCATTCATTTAACCAAAGTGATAACTCAAGGATTTGTTTAAAAAGGCAAAAACCTTCCTTCTTTGAGAGATAAGACTTAATTTTCCAAATGATAAGCCCTAATGAAAACAGCATGAGGCCAATTAACTTTTTCAAAATTTTATAAACAATTATAAAATTTTAGCCTTGATCATAAGATGTAGCTTCCATAAGCCTTTTATAACCTTTATTAAGGAGTTGGTTAATGCTTCAAGAAAACCTTGTTTATCTGATACAGGGGCCCATATGCTAGTCTTGCATCAGTGTATCTTTGACATTAATGGTTAATTTATGGAGAAACTGAATTGATTTTATCTCTTAAAATTGGTCCTTATAATTTCACACTCTCACCTCTTCTGCAATAGAC